TGTCACTGATGAGGCCAATCACCGTGGTGTCATCTGCCCTCAACTCTTTCAGGAGTACCATGTCAGCGCACATTTCTTTTATTTGCTCTTTCTTTGACCGTGTTTCTCTTTTCCACTGGAGAATCACTGGTCTAGACAGTATTTACAGTAGGTACTCATGATGGAGCTGCATGTTTCTTTTCGTCCTGTCTCTCCTTTCCATTCGCAACTGCAATATTCACCTTCTCTGGCAACAGCTCATTTGAAGTATTTGTTTGCAGTAGATAAAGTTGCAGATCACTTTTAATATTATTATTCTGAAGACCAGTCAGGACAGTATGCATGAAAAGACTCTGGACTAGTGCTGGATCATATTTTAGACTTGATTTAACTTCCTGAGAAGCAAACAGGATTTTCTGCCTCAATTCTGTTGTCTTGATCAAGAAATTTTAGGGAGTCTCTTTACTATTCTAACTCTAAGAGGAGAGTTGTTTGTATAACTCTGTGGCACTTTTCTCACAGTTTCAAAGGTCACTGTTGGTAGAACACTACGCCGCCATGGTCTCATATCATGCATTGCATGGGAGGTTCCCCTGCTCAGGTCATCACATGTCCAGGCCCGTCTGAAGTTTGCCAGTGACCATCTGGATGATCCTGAGGAGGCGTGGGAGGAAGTCATGTGGTCAGACGGGACCAAAATAGAACTTGCTGGTTTAAACTTAATTCGTTGTGTTTTGAGGAGAAAGAAGGAGGAGTTGTATCCCAAGAACCCTATCCTTACTGTGAAGCATGGGGGTGGAAACATCATACTTTGGGGGTACTTTTCTTTGAAGGAGACAGGACCACTGCACTGTATTAAGGAGAGGATGAATGAGGCCATGTATTGTGAGATTTTGAGCAACAATCTTCCCTCAGTCAGAGCATTGAAGATGGGTTGTGGTTGGGTCTTCCAACATGACAATGACCCGAAGCACACAGCCAGGATAACCAAGGAGTGGCTCCGTAAGATGCATATCCAGGTTCTGGAGTGGCCTAGCCAGTCTACAAACCTAAATCCAATAGAAAATCTTTGGAGGGAGCTGAATTAACGATATTAAAGAAGTGGTTTGATATAAATAAATTATCATTGAATCTAGATAAAACCAAATTTATGTTGTTTGGAAACCAAAAGAAAAACATCGAAGTAGAAATATGTGTTGACAATGTATATTTAGAAAGAGTAAATGAAATAAAATTTCTTGGGGTGATCATTGACCACAAGCTCTGTTTGAAGCCACACATTACTTATGTTCGGGGGAAATTGGCACGGGGCATTGCCGTCCTGGGGAAAGCAAAGCATATGTTGGATCAGAAAGCACTGCACATTTTGTACTGTGCTTTACTACTGCCATATATGAGCTACTGTGTAGAGGTCTGGGGAAACACATACAAAAGTAACACACAAACAATAACTATGATACAGAAAAGGGCCATTAGATTAATAAATAATGTAGGGTACAGGGACCATACAAATGCACTCTTTGTCAAAATGCAAGCTATTAAATTCCAAGACT